TAGCTTCTGAACTTTACCAAAGGTAACTTCCTAGGTGCTTCAAAGACATGGTAAATAGTTTCTTTTTCTTTTCTTTCTTTCTTTCTTTCTTTCTTTTTTTTTACAAGATTTAGAACTCTACAAGGTAGTTCAGAGAAAGGAAAATTCAAGAGAGGAAATTTGAAGCTATCTACGGGTGGGGGGGGAAAGCCCTCAATAAATGGCAAAGTTACACAAATAACAAACCAGAAAGGAATCATTCCAGAAGGCAACAATTGAACTCAGACCCCCCACTGTCAAAAGATGCAGGCTTAGCTGCTGAACTACACAGCACTGAGCACTTTCTGTTGCTTTTCCCAGAAGGAGCCTAGCGAAGCCAATTTCAAGCTTGCAAGGATTTTTTAACTGCTCAAGAAAAATTTTTAGGACTATGACATGAACCCCAAAATTCCTGTGCTCTGGATGGTGGACACCAAAAGACAGTATCCCCACAAGGTTAAGTTCTTCTTTTTTTTTTTTTTTTTTTTTCCCTTTCATTAGCATCGAGTAGTTTATCTAGAAACAAGTTAAGTTCTTAAGGACACAAAACAAGACAGATAAATTTTATACAGTATTGATTTTGGGGACCCGTAGCAAAGTTTGTGCCTGAAAAGCTGACTTGAAGAGCAGGCTTATAGGGGTCCTAAACCCCATTCTATCCTGTGATACCTCTCTCCATTACAGAATGCAGAAAGCCAAATTCTTAGAACAAAGCATACCAGATTTGCTACAGCCTAGGACTAGCCTCACAAATCCTTTTTTCTATTAATCAAACCCTTGCAGAGGAGACACATTGCTTATCCAGACACAGAGAGAGACCAGAAACTTGGCTGGTGAGAATTTCTTACCCTTTTTGCTGGCCTGCCAGGTTTCTGGGTTCCCTTTCTCTGCAGCTTACCCAAGAATGAACTGGCTTTTGATGATCTTGCTCACTTGTGCCATAGCTGTGGGGTTCAAGCTACTTTACAAGAAAAAATCGCCCTTTCCTGTTTTATGGAACCATAGACAAGATTCTCAGTTTGCAAGATGCTGCCCGATGGGCTGCATGGGGAACCAAATTAACATTTTCCATCTCAGCAAAATAAACAAAACAGGCATTAGTCACCTCGTGCAGCACCCAGTATCAGCCTGGCAAAGCTCAAACGTTTTCCCATTGGCCCTGTTGTCTTTGATCCACTCCAGGTGGGGATGGACGGCCTCCAAACGGTAATTCACAATGGGGTCTCTGGGCAAGGCAAAGAGCAGATAGTCACCCTGAGACAGGCCTGTCAAGCCTTCTTTAAAGCTCATTGAATGAGACCAGACAAATAAGGAGGGTTCTCTGAATTAGGCCGCTGGACTTTCATCAGCAACCCCTCTGAGATGCCTTCCATATACTATACAAACACACACAAAGATGAGATGAACAGAAGGCCTTCCAAATCAGATCCCTGACCAAGAACTCCAGGAGTATCCCTTCCACACTATCCTCCTATTCTCCTGAGAAACCTCCTTGAAATCTTCCTGATTGAGAAGTCTCCCAAACCAGGATTTTTCCTACTAGTTAGAAAGGGCCAACCAAGACTCCCCCAGGAGCTGAACAAACACCCCACAAAGGGGCTACACAGACACCCCATGGTGGAGCTAGATACCTCATCATGGGGCTACAGACAGACACCCTGTGATAGATCTGTAGTTAAGGGATGTCTCCCCAGGACTATTTCTCCATTGCAATTAAATCCATGCACACTGGGTTGGCAATGCCCCACCAGTAGAGAGTACCACAGTCAGCCCCTAGTCCAAGAGAACTAGGTGGCCACTTGGCTAGCTAGCTTCTGGATCATTGCTGGAGGGGTGCTACCTACCCGTGGTTCAGTGGCCCCTCTCCAGCCATGAATCCTGGATGAGCCCCCAAATTAGTAACTGCCCAAGGAGTTCACATTGCCCACTACCTAGACAGCCAGTTCATCAAGACAGGGGAACTGCAATAGAGAAACAGTAATTCATGCAGATCTGGCTGTGCAGAAGACCAGAGTTTTATTATTACTCAGATCAGTCTCTGATTCATAGTTTTCAAGGGAATTTCCTTCACTGGCTTTGCTTCCTAGTTGTACTAGAATAAATATGATTTGGAGTAATCTGTCTGCCAACACACCCTCAACCAAATCTTCCCTGCCCCAAACACACACAGTATTTTGCCCAGGAAGATCTAGTTCTATTTGCATCTGAAGAGGGCAGGATGGGGGTTCTAGGCCTTTCTTCTCCTTCATGTGAGTGACCATAAGCAACAGAAGAATCCATGTCTTGCCCTTAACATGGCCGATGTCTGCTCCACACATGGGCCCAGAGGCCATACTCTTACCACTTCCGGGAAGCTGATGCTGACATTGCAATGGAGGTCTCTCATCCTGAGGCAAGGGCGCCGATTCTGCCAGGCCTTTGTACCTTCTGGAAACTGCTAGGAATTGTATTTGCAGATCCACAAATGCTATTTGATTATTCCATGGCATGAAAGACGAATTTGAGGTTCAGTAGGGAGGGCAGACTAAAGACTGAGGAAACATAGTTTGCAAGGGCAACTTATGTTAATTTTGGGCAAAAATATATTCATGTAGCCAGCACTCTGGGAAGACTGGGCAGAGTAGGTAGAGCTGGGATCAACATTCAAAGGTAATGCCCCAACTGTATTTTAGCCTCATTTTTACCTGCTGGCCAGCATCTTTTAATGATCTTGGCTACACAGCCCTTGTTTGTATCTCCAGATAGACAGTGCTGTCTGAAGAAAAAAGGGAGACAGATGACCCAAGTCTGGAAGGAGTCTCAAGAAGGAAATGTACAATAGTGAGAAGTGCAGCCTCTTCACTCAGACTTCATCTCCACTCCTTGTTCTGTCATAGTGTATCTGTGGGAACTTTATAGCATCTGAGTCTATTTACTTCATGCAAAATGGGACAGGTGATATCTTCTAAGGCTGTTATAAAAATCATTAAAACCTATAAAGCATAAAAAGCTGGCTCATCTTAGGTATTAAGTAAATAAATGGCAAATATTACTATCATTAGTATCTATAAAATAGATATTTGTAGTGTGCTTATGAAAAGGAGAAAAAGAATGCCTTTGGCTTATGGTAGGTATTTAATAAATGGGCCTGTTAGTCCTCTCTTTGCCATGCACCACTGCGTGTTTGACCTTCAGCAAAGCCACCTCTGTCATTGGTAAATGGGGAGTATTTCTACTCTATCTCACTCCAGTAACAGCTGCAGTGATGACTGGTGATAATTACACATGCCTCACTTCTTTCCTGGAGTTGTGATGACTCAAATTGAAGGCTAGGAATGGGGAACAATGCTCTAGAATGAAACACACTGCATTTGAGGGCAACAGACTTGGATTCTAGTCTTGGTACTGCATCTTACCAACGAAAAGGCCTTAGGCAAATCACCAATGAATCTGACCTCGCATCCCTGTGAGAAAATACAAACATGGGAAATGATCGTCATTGCTCCTCGAGGGCAATGCCAGTCTTCTCATTTTAATAGTTCTGGTACTCATCAAAGTTGTTAGCACAGAGTAGGCACTCAATATTTAAATGTAATGAATCATGAACTACCCAGAAGTCACATTTTTAACCATTAGCAAGTTTTTTGCCCATAAGCTGGTAGCTTTTGTCCCAATCTGATTTGTTACATTCCCTACGTCCCAAAGTCGGTTGTATTCCATGCCAACCTTAACGTCCTCAGAGATGTTACTTGGATACAACTGGAAGAAAAACCTGACAAGAGAAAAGAAAGCAGCTCTTCTGTCTGTGGTAGCTGCAGGGGAACAGTTCCATGATCCACATGCACCTCCCACCCTTGCCCACTCTCTGGTTTGGGAATCCCTTCTCTAAATTCCCTGTGATTCTAAGTCCCCTTTCTACAGGATTCATCCTCCCGCAGAAGGTGGCGGGCATTGAAGAAGCCAGAGCTGCTTACGGATGACTCTCCATGGATAATACGAAGGGGAGGGATGCCTTCCAGGTCTCCTCCAAATGGGAGGTGGCAGGTGGAAAGCAGCAGGTAGAAGCATGTAAGAGGGAACTGGGCTTCCTGGCACCAGGGGGAGAAATCTTAAAGTGGAACTTCTTGGTAGTAGTAGATTGATGTACCCTTCATCCACGCTACGTAGTATTTCAGAACCATTACCTTATTTGGTCTCTGACAGCTTTGGTAGAAGAGGGAACCCTGTAGAGGTTGAAAAAGACAGAAAGGGCCAAAAAGTTAAGAGTCACCATGTCTGTGCACCATAGCCATCTGGTCTGGAACGAGAGCACTGGCAAAGGTAGAGTACTTCCATATCTGCCATGTGTCAAGTGTGCTCGTTACCGAGGTAGCTGTAATCTGAAATCATCATCTTTATTTATTTATTTATTTTTTGAGATGGGGTCTCGCTCTGTCACCCAGGCTGGAATGCAATGGTGCAATCTCAGCTCACTGCAATCTCCACCTCCTAGATTCAAACGATTCTCATACCTTGGCCTCCCAAGTAGCTGGGATTATAGGCATGTACCACCATGCCTGCCAAATTTTTATATTTTTAGCAGAAACAGTTTTACATTGTTAGCCAGGCTGGTCTTGAACTCCTGACCTCAGGTGATCTGCCTACCTCAGCCTCCCAAAGTGCCAGGATTACAGGCATAAGCCACCACGAAGGGTCTGAAATCATTTTTATTACTATCCCCAACACCTGGCTTCCCTACCTCCATCTTTTTCCTCTATTCCTTCTCCTCCCCCTCCCCTGCCCCATCTTTTTCCCCTTTCCCCAAAGTCTGACTAAAGGTAACCCCAAGCAAACCTCACTCAATCACCTCAGCTCGGTTAAGTATCCCTTTGTAGGCTTCAACACACTACACTGTTAATTTCTTGTTTATTTACTTACTCTCTTATTCTGAAAAAAAGTAGGACCTTTATTTTGTTGAGTATTCTATCCCCAAGTGCCCACACATTGCATCACAAAAAACAAGATGCTCCACAAATGTTTAATTTATTAAGTGTACCAGTATATACTGCTAATACATTACATTTTAATGTTTCTCTAGATACTCAAATAGCTAAGCAAACAGAGGTACGTGTCAGTCCTTTTTCTTTTATATACAACAGACAAGTGTTGGGAGGCTAGACGCCAGTTATTTTCCCCTGGTACCAGATCATGCTACAGAGTTCCTTCAAACCATCTAAGTACTTCCAGTGCTGCGTCATCTGTTCAAAGTCACAGTATAAATACAAAGTTCAATCCATCTTACAAAACCAGCAAAACTCTACAACAAAATCCCACAGGAAACAGCAAACCAATCCCACTGACAAACAGCATTTTAACAGTGTATTAAATGTAACAAAACATAACAAGATATAAAATCTAAATCCTTAAAGTCACACGATTTCTACAGAAATAAGACCCTACTTATGACTCAGGACAGTAGCTCATTCCCACAGGGACCCCACTGGCCACCTTTTCACCAACCCTCACCAGAAGTGGATGCCGGGCCTAGCACCGGCCCTGGCCCTCATACTGGCTTCAGCTCTGGCCTTGGCTCTGGCCCTATCGGCCTCGTCTGCCAGGGCCTCACGGTACTGCACTGGCCAGTGCTGGGGTTCCTTCTTATGCAGCTTGGCCACGAACCCCAGGACTTTCATCTTGCTGATTTCCAGGTTGCTTCGGGGACCCCAAGAGAATTCATATTGCAGTGGATTGGTGTGAGGCACCCGCCTGTAACTGAGGTAACGCTGCTGGACAAAATCTTCCATAATAAGCCTCTTCGGATACCCAAAGAGGAAATGATTCTTTGAGGGATGCACCCCCAACCGACGCAGCATCTCCCAGACCTGGGCCTCCCTGGCACTATTACCTTTCATATAGATAAGGCCCAGGATCATCATTAAGAGGCCCAATCTGGGGCCATCTCCTCCCAGATCTTCCTCCTCCTCAAGAGGCTTTAGTTTGTTGATCAGGATGTAACTGTGGTGTTTGCGGTCCAACAGTTTCAGCTCAAAACCAAAGACATACCGCAGATGCTCTGCGGCTCTCGCGACGATGTCCGGGAATAGAGCCTTCAAGTCTCCAATAACGTATTTCACCATCTCCGAGCGTGTGATGGGACTCTTCTTCTTGTCTTTCACCAGGAGGAACTGCACCAACTCCGCCACCGTCCGGTTCAGACGGCGGTAGGCCCTGCGCCGTGCCAAGGCTTTGGCCGCCAAGGCCCTTGCGCCTTTCAGGGTGAGGGCGGGCTCCGCAGCCCCTTCCTCCCTCCCGGCGCCAGGAACCTCCGTGGGGCGCTCCTGCGAGGCGGCCGGGGCCGGGGTCTCACCATCATGGCCGCCATCCTTCTCCCCCTCGGCCTGCGGGAGCGGGAGCCCCCTGCTCTCTGGTGTCTGCAACATGTTTCCGCGCAGGCAGGTGCAGAGCGCTTACAAGGGCCGAGGGGTGTGCGAGCCGCCGCGCAGGCGCCAGGGGAGGGGTTGGACAGCGGCTGGGGCGGCGGGAGGACCAGGAGCGATGGCACAGGGAGCTCGGCGGCTGCTGGGCGGCACCTCACGGGAGTCGAAACTGCGCCCGCAACCCCGCCAGCAGCCGGGACTTGCGGCGCGCAGCCTCAGTCCGCGCCCGCGCGAGGGGCCACTTCCGGCCGCCGCAGCCAGGATGGCGACCCCAGTGCTGCGCGAAGCTCCGCCTCTTCCGGTCCCCTGTGGGTTGGGGTGTGCCTGGGCTACTCTGAGTGGAAGTGCCAGAGGGTGGGGCCGGGGGGTGCACCGTGTGCTGGATTTTAGGCTCGGAAAGCCGGGGGCGGGGGAATGTGCCAGGCCTCTCCCCTCCGAGGCATGCAGAGTGGGGAACGTTTCAGGGTCCAAGGGGTGAAATAGGGATGGAATGCCGCCCACCTGCTCTCTGCAAGTGCCCACGTGTAAGTGTGTGCATCTCGGGCTTTCGGGGCTTTTCCGTGGCCCTGGAGTGCGCGCTGAAGGCCGGGAGCCAGTCAGCAAAGGGTGCTAGGGAGATGGACGGAAGGAAAAGCTCCTGCAGGAGGATTTAAGCAAGTGAGCGTCTGGGCCTGAACTGTGTCTTCCTGTTCTGGCGGTAACGTGGGAGATGCGCTGGAGTTTGGCTGGCTGAAAGCGGGAATCCAGTTTGGATGATGATTATAGTGCACACTGGGAACTGGGACCTGGCCTGTTCACCGGGTGTATCCTCAGTGCCCAGAGCAGTGCCGGACAGAGAGGAACTCCATAAATATTATTCAGCGGATCATTATGGTGAGGGAGTAAGGACAGCAGATTCCATGGGGATACGAGGAAAATGATAAGATACACTGAGGAAGGACAGCTGGCAGGAATAGGGATGGGTTGGAAGAAAGGGATTTTTTTTTTTTTTTTTTTTTTTTTTTTCCCCAAGTCAAATTTTACTACTCCCACATGTTTCTTTCTTTTTTTCTTTCTTTGAGACGGAGTTTCGCTTTTGTTACCCAGGCCGGAGTGCAATGGCGCGATCTCGGCTCACCGCAACCTCCGCCTCCTGGGTTCAGGCAATTCTCCTGCCTCAGCCTCCTGAGTAGCTGGGATTACAGGCACGCGCCACCATGCCCAGCTAATTTTTTGTATTTTTAGTAGAGACGGGGTTTCACCATGTTGACCAGGATGGTCTCGATCTCTTGACCTTGTGATCCACCCGCCTCGGCCTCCCAAAGTGCTGGGATTACAGGCATGAGCCACCACGCCCGGTCCCCCCAACTTTTTTTTTTTTTTTTAACACACTCTGAGCTTTCTTCTGCTTCTTGCTCCTTCCTTCCTTCCTTCCTTCCTTCCTTCCTTCCTTCCCCCCCCTCCACCGAGTCCCATCCGAATGTGTGATGGGACTCTTCTTGTCTTTCACCAGGAAGAACTGCACCAACTCTGCCACCATCCGATTCAGACGGCGGGGCCCTGCGCCATGCCACAGCTTTGGCTGCCAAGGCCCTCGTGCCTTTCTGGGTGAGGAGGGGCTCCGAAGCCCCCCCTCCTTCCCAACGCCAAGCTTCCTTGCTTCCTCCTTCCCTTCCATCCTTCTTTCTTTCCTTCTCTTCCTCCCTCCTTTCCCTCCTTCCTTCCCTCCCTCCCTCCCCGATTCCCTTCCTGCTTCCCTTCCTCCCTCCCTCCTTCCCTTCCTGCCTCCTCTCCTCCCTCCCTCCTTTCCTTCCTGCCTCCCTTCCTCTCTCCCTCTCTCTCTGCTTCCCTTCCTCCCTCCCTTCCTTCCTTCCTCCCTCCCTTCCTTCCTTCCCTGTCTGAAATGCCCTCTCTATCACCTCCATTTATCCAAATCCTGTCCACTATTCATGGCCCAATATAAACATTACCTTCCCAAAGCCTTCCTTAGTCACCATGCATAGAACTTATTTATTGCCATCTCTGAATCACCTTAGCAATTTGTTCATATCCACGTATTTAGGCCTTATTAGGTGCCAGCCTCCGTTCTAGGCACTTTGCAAATATTAGTTCATCGGATTCTCACTAATATAAGTAGTAATACCATCACCCCCGTTTCACAGACGATTGTTTCTTTTCTGTGACACAGTTTGCTACTTACTAGCTATGTAATGTTGGGCAAGTTGCCGAAACCTCTGCCCTTCTGTTGCCTTGTCAGTACAATGAGTATAACAGTAGTAACCGCATTGTGGGGATTATGCGGAGTAATGCACATAAGCATTTAACACAGTGCTTGGCACATACTGATATTCAGTAAATGTCAGCTATTCATTACTGCATGTTTTCATAGGCAATCTAGAACATGAGGGTTGCAAGATGGACTGTGCTGGAATGCCTAGACTCTGGAGATGTGGAGGAGGAGTCCTGGGACGAAGCGAGGAATCAGGTAAGCCCTCACCCGTTCTGCGACCTCGCAACAGGATTCTCAACACTCTGGGCCACCTTTTCCTGATACTGCAGCCCTGCTAGGTAAGTGGTATTATTAGCACCATTTTCCAGGTGAGGTTACACGCAAAGAGGTGAAGTAGCTTGCTCAGCATCACGCAGCTGGGATGTGGCCCCGTATAGCACAACTCCACAGACCATTCTCTTAACCACTGCATTCAGAGATGCTAATTCTGGTTATCATCATTCGCTGTGCTTCGTATTAGAATGTTTTTGTGCTTATCTTGCTGCCCTCCCCAAACCAAACATCCTAAAAGCTAGGGCTATGTCTTTCGCTCTTTTGAAGCGCTTTTCCTAGTCAGTACTCGATATATAATTGCCAATGAATAAATGACCAAGCCTTTACTTTTTTCCCTAGGAAATAAGTTATTTATTTTAAGTACATATCTGACAGACTTTTCAAAATCTCAATATGAGATCTTCCTTTTAAAAACTTTGGAAACTATATACCCATTTGTATCATATGACTTAGAAAAACTGAAAGTATGTGAATGAAGCAAGAGAGGATGTTTATGATAGTCTAGCTCGAGGCTATTATTAGTTTTCATTGTGCCAAACATTTTATGTACAATATAATTTAGTCCTCACAAATCCCTATTAGGAAGGTATTATTATCTGCATTTACAAATGGGAAAACAGTCACAGAGAGGTTAAATCACCTGCCCCAAACCACCCGTCTGTTAAGTGCTAGACCAGAAATGAAAACCCAGATCTGTCTACTCTGAAGCAAGACTGCCTGGTTATCTATTTTTCCTGAAGGCAGAGAGAGCCACCCCTACCTAAAAGGACAGTGCTAGAGATAAAATAGTCCACTGACATGTTTTCCTCCCTGCAAGGATTGTCAGGGAGATACGCAGGTGATATATGCGTGGAGAGGAGCATGCAGAAGAGATAGTCAGTGAGAAGAGTTTTGACGGACAATTCCACAGTAATAGGGCTGGGTTTTAAGAACTGAATGAATGACATTGCTACGCATAAGAAGGAACCGATTACAGACACAACGTGAATGAGTCTGGCAGATACGTTGAGGGACAGAAGAAAGATACAAAAGTTTATGCATGTCATATGATTCCATTTCTCTGATGTTCAAAGCTAATCTGTGGTGATAGAAATGAGGGCAGTGGAGGCTTGGGATGGCGTTGACTGGACAGGGGAATCCAGGAAGTTTTGATGGTGATGGCAGTGTTCTGTATCCTGGTTTAGATGTAGGTATACATTTGTCAAAACTTACCAAAGTGTACACTTAATAGCTATGCATTTTTTTCTTTTTTCTTTTTTTTTCTTTTTTGAGACAGAGTCTCACTCTGTCACCCAGGCTGGCGTGGTGCAATGGCGTGATCTCAGCTCACTGCAACCTCTGCCTCCCAGGTTCAAGCTATATTCCTGCCTCAGCCTTCCAAGTAGCTGGGACTACAGGTGTGCACTACCACACCCGGCTAATTTTTGTATTTTTAGTAAGAAGGGGTTTCACCTTGTTGGCCAGGCTGGTCTCAAACTCCTGACGTCAAGTGATCCACCCGCCTCGGCCTCCCAAAGTGTTGGGAGTACAGGCATGAGCCACCACGCCCAGCCAGGTGTGCATTTCTTAGTGAATGAATCATACCTCAAAATGTATAAAAATAAGAAAGGATTTTTAAAAATTGAATGAATAGGCCTTTCGGTATGGGAGGTGGCGTGGAGTAAGAAAGGTGAATCGACCCTACCCTGCCACTTGCCAATCCCTAGATGTTCCCATGTTATAGTAGAGGGGATGCAAACGGTTTTCCCATTTCCTGTGTCCACATGTAACTGGACAAGCAGACTTTTCACACCTTCCTTACCTAAGCTTTTGAAAGGGAGGAAAGGTGTATGTCTTTGGTTTGGGAGATGGCAAGACATATACTTTAGTGACTGTTGGGTTGGAATCTTCTTGAGAGAGCCTCCTTCGTTGCCTAGACTAGAGTCTTCAAAAGCCCACGGTGCTTCCTGCAGTCTCATGCGTGGAAGGGAGAAGGGTGTTCCACTGGAAAAGCAGAATTGCAGGATGGACTGTCCTGGAATGCCCAGTGCTCAGTGGAGACGCGAGGGAGGTTTCCTGGGACAAAGCACGGAACCAGGTCGTTGCTCACCCGTCCTGTGACCCTGCACAGGATGCGGACCCTCTGTGGGCCACTATTTCCTCATCTTTAGGCCCCAACAACCCTCGTTTTGCCCATCCCCACAGAGTTGTTTTGAAGTTCAATCAAGATTATTAATGTGAATATGCTTTTAACGTGCCCCACCGTTAGGAAACAAATAGAAAATGTTACGGACCCTTTTCTAAAAGAGACGTGGTGGAAAAATCCCAGTAATGAGGGTGACTGGCCTCTTACACAGACATTTCAGAACAGCTTACACATTCCTGGTTGAAAAAACCGTCTGGCCAAAAAAGATTAAATAAAGAAATGTCAAGTACTGACACTCCATTTGAGGCCAGTGAATACTTTGGTGGGGAGCCAGGGTTATCTTGCTGGATTCCTTCTAAACTCGGCAGTCAAGTCCTCCAAACCCTTGAACGCCTGCACACAGGTGCTGAGTAACAGCATGTCACCCCGATCCGACAGTCCTCAGGCTGCGTAGGTGCTCGTGGCTTCTCTATTTCTCCTGACAGGCTTGACAGCCGTACAGCTAAGCAGGCTCCAAGGAGGGATCAGAGGAAGAGCTTTGTCCCTGTCCCCAGTCCGGGACAGATTGAAGGCTGGTTTTGTCAGAGCAGAATGGGCAGAGTGTGAGGCTTTGGGTCCCGTCTGTGGGGCTGG